ATATCCGTGAGTGTCCGGACCAGCTTACACGCACTTCGACTAGTCTCACGAGACAGCCGCCTGATGCTACAACATTTGGTACTGAAAAGCATATAGGAATTACTAATTCCTGAAGTAGGTGGTCATCATAAGGTTTAAACTCATTCCCTCTTTTTGATTCGGGGATATAATTCTCCAGATAAGTGTGCAGTACCTATCCGGTTATAAATAAATAGCGGTAGGAGCTTATTACATGATAAATAAAATTCCAAAAGTTACACGTGTAGTACAGTAAGAGGCTGAGAATAATGAACAAATAATTGCAATACTTATTGAGTTGCACTGACAGCACTTGAGGAAACACCCGAGTACTGGGCTTTACATTACCTATAATCCTTATGTTGTGGCATATAATTCACTCATGTAATGCAATGGGAGAAAAATCAGGAGTGAATCTTTTTATTTTTTTATTTTTATTAATTTTTTTAAAGTTTGTCATATTAAACCTATAATCCTTATCTTGTGGCTCCTTTCATATGTACCCTGCGCTGCTCTTAGAATGGAGTAGGGCTAGTTAAAATAGTGACATTCTCCATCTCCCTGGTCCATCATATTTATATCATAGAAGAAGATATCATACATCACATTATGCATTTTCAGTCAAATAAGAGAAGGAAAATTTTAGAAACATTCTTCATATTATAAAAGTGGGTGGGTAAAGGATCTTTAGGACATGGAACAATTTTGGTTCAGCTCTGGATTTGTGATTCTGCTCTTAATTCTACGTTAGGTATTATTATTACCACTATCATTATCACTATTTTGGTTTTGACGATGATAATAAAATTCCTTTTAAAAATGTAGGTTCAATTGTAACCATAAGCATTTTCTTCTAAATGCCATTTGCTAGATGCATGACGTGCAATGACATGTAGCTCCTAATCCCCATCAAACTGCCAATGAATTGGTTACTGTAGTTTTTCTTGTCATCACCTGTTCATCATATTGTTAACAGTTGTAAAAATAATTTCAGGATATGCTTGGGAATTGGAGTATCAAAGCAAGTGCTCCTGGTGATTATTTATATGTGGCAATCTCAGTTCAGCACCCCGAACTTGGTGACTACTTTTCTGCCACTTTGAAAGTGAAAAGAGTGTCCTCACCTTTTGGATCCGATCACTCAAGATTCTTTTACCTAATGCCTCACAAAGTCGCAATATGGATATACTGGCATGTAAGTGCACTCGTGTTACTTTTGAAGTTGTTATTAGCTGTAGCCTGTCGTCAACTGCTTACTGTTCATGTCGTATTCCAAATCCAGTGAACAATTCTCTTATCTAGAACCATTTGATTAATTGGAACATCCCGTTCACGCATTTATCTTAATTGAAAGAAGATGCTTTTCATTGATGTAGAGAAAGTTTAAATGTAAAAGGTCTATACTCCTATTAAGAATTAACGGAAAAAGAAAACGACAGTTAGCATTAATTGCAAAAGAAGAACAGTTACGAAAAGATTTATCGAGAGAGCACCAACAAATCAAGGAAATTTGCCAAATCTTGAACTTCCTCCCATCATCTATTGTGGTAAATCCGATAGTTACTTTCCGGCCATAAATCCCAAGATAATGTTTGATGGGATCTTCAACTTTCTTTTAAGTTTGATTGCCCACAAAAGTTGCCATTTGTTGTTTTTAGCTGAGAAATCAAGGGCCCATTAAAGGAATGTTTGCAAGTGATTGCACACCAAAGTTGTCATTTTTTAAAATTACTTGTATATCATGGTAGGGATAAATGATTTTGACAATGATAAAAGTGATTTTGGTCCACGCATTTTATAATGATATACAAGTGATTTTAGAAAACGGTAAAAGTCACTCAAAAATATCCCAACACTTCCTGCTTAAAGGACACGAGAATACATTTCCTTTGTATTCTCTCCATTTTATTTAGCTCTTCAAGGCACACCAACCAGCAAAAGAACATACTCTTTTGGCCCTTTTATCTTTTTAAATTCAAAGAGCAAGGTTTCCTGTAACGGGGAGTTGATAGTGGTACCAGTTAAAATGAAGTTACGAACATAGTGATTTGACTGAAAATTCACCCCGATTGTTCAAGTGTCAAACCCATTGACATATCAACTGTCTTCAACCCAAACCCAATCCAGTAGCTCCAGAGGGCAGCAAAAATTATTGAACTCTATTTCATTGAGGTTTCTTTTTGACGAGATTTTACAATAATTGATAACATCTCCAACGCCTCGCTTATTGTAGCCCCCAGGAACAATTAGACAGCAAAGAGAAGGGAATTTCTGTTCCAGCGGTCAGCTAACCACCTATCTTTTCAGAAATAGTCGTTAGCAAGTTTGATAGTGGTGAAGTCGTCTATTAAACCCTTGATTTTTCACTTGTAGACCTACTCCTCTTTATCTTTCCCATTCAAATTTGAAATAACTTCTTGTCAGAAATTCGTTGCGTTGGAAATCTTCAAATCCACTTGACCATGGTCAACATTAGATTTCTCTTCCTCACATTATCAATGTCTATAACTTCTCCGGTTAGAGGTTGAGAAGGAGCTCCAATTGATCAGATGGCTATACCCTTTCCCACCTTGTTGCCGCCCATTGGGAGTCTCTCTTTTTTCTTTTTAGAAAGTAGTACCCACCTTACTCGAAATCCGGAAGATAGACATAAAGTAAGCACTAACGCGAGAAATTTATAAATATGTGGTCTTTGTTGTCACGTCATTGCGTATGAGAAACTGAATAGGGTATATTTGCATTCTATGATCCACTCATTTCTTTTCATGTCCACTGAGTTCGGAATGAATAATGATGCTTGAATGTGCACTATTTAACACTTGCAAGGCTTGGAGATGTATGTCCTTATGCTAGGCAGGGGTTAACCTAGAAGATGTAAACCCTTGACCATTTGGTTGAATCCTGGTGCCATAAGGGACAACCTTAGGGGAGTCCTTTGCAAGTTTTATGGGGAGGGCTTTTGGACTTTTGTTTGAATGAAACCTTTGTATGCTTAATTCCCAAAAAGGATAGGGCTAGGAGGGTCAAGGACTTTAGGTCTGTTAGCCTGGTTACGAGCGTTTATAAAATCCTTGCTAAGGTCTTGTTGATAGGTTAAGAAAAGTCCTCCCTAGTACAATATCATATGCCTAAGGTGCCTTTATTTCTGGTAGACAAATTTTGGACTAATCCCTCGTGGGATCATAGCTAACAAGGCCATTGAGGATTATAAAGTCGTAAAGGTGTTATCTTTAAAATTTATTTTGATAAAGCTTACGGTCATATGAATTGAGATTTCTTAGACAAAGTCCTCGGAAAGAAGGGATTAGGACACTTAGGTGTTCTATCTTGGTTAATGGAAAGTCGGTCTGAGACAAGGTCACCCCTTCTCTCCTTCGAGAAGAGTGGAGGATAACATTTTAGAAGGTTTTTCAAATAGGGAAGGATAGGTTAGTTCTATCCCACCTCCGAAACAGAAGAAGCGGCTTGTGATCGTCCCGGATAGGAGGGATTTCTACTTTTGGGCTCCAATCCTGCAAATCATTTTTCCTTTATTTGGTGGATTCCTCCCCCTCCCGCCCCTGCTTTTTCTTTGATTTGGAAGGTTGAGATTATCAAGAAGGTAAATTTTTTTGCTTGACAGGTTTTATATGGTCACATCTCTCTTTGGGCTTTTGTGTTCAAAGGTTCTTGTAATTGCTCTTTAGGTCAGATCTTGTTTGATTGGAATCTGTTCTTTTAGTTTGGCTTCTTTTGCTGGGTTGTCATTTTGATGTTATTCTTTCATTTGTCTTTATGAAAACTCCGTTTTTCATCCCAAAAAAAGAATAATAAAAAATTGTGAGAAACAATATTGAATCACAATAAAGTATTTTATACATCAGGTCAAATACTTTGAGACAAGGAAAATTTATAAAATGTGCTGCATGTAGTTTGCAAAATTAGATACATGGATATGCCATATGATATAAAATCTGAAATTGGCGCAGATATCCTAATCCTATGTGATTCCTAGGTCCTCCAATCCAATATCCTCTTCACTCTCTCTTTATGTTTGTTTCTCATCTCCAGGCTTTCAAATTATGGTGGAAAGGTGTGCATTTTATTCAACATCCAAGGTATACTAACCCTTCATACAAGACAGATGCTACAACTCGTGATCAAGAACTTCAATGCTGCAAGGGAATTGGAACTGGATCAACCAACAACAAACACCAAGAATTCGAAAGAGGAAAAGAAATAGACCTTAGTGACAGAAATTATGCATCTCGTGAGTTCACTTGGACCAATTCCAAATGGCCTTGGGCTTGATACTGCTGGAGGTAAAGTTATGTAAAAATATAATTTGTGTTCTCCATAATGTTTTCAATATACCGGTTTCCCCTATCTGGGTCCGTGATGTGTTCTCTGTAAGAGTGTCTCGGAAGACCTCGATCATTTGTTGTGGATTTGCTAGTTTGCGCAGGATTTATAGCATCGTTTCTTTATGTGTTTTGGATTGTCTTGGGTCCGTGCTAGGGATTATAGGGGCTAGGAGGGAGGAGGTGCTTTTACCCTCCCCTCGTGACAAGGGTCATTTTTCGTGGTAGGCTTGTTTTTTGGCTACCTTATGGGGTATTTGGTTGGAAAGGAATCATAGACTGTTTAGGGGGTGGAGAAGTATGTGGATTATGTTTGGGATATTATTAGATTTAACACTTCGATATGGTGCTCCGTTTCTAAATTCTTTTGTAATTATCCGCTAGGCCTTATTCTTTTGGATTGGAGTCCTTTTCTTTATGGGGTTTCCTCCTTCAGGGTTGTTGTTCTTTAGGCCCTTTTTGTTGTTCTTGTACTTATTTTCATTTCTCTCAATGAAAGTGTTGTTTCATATAAAAAAAAAAGTTTTCAATATACCTGTGGACCAGCACAATACATTCCAACAAGTCGGGAAAAGACTTTCTAAATGGAGTTAAAGAACTTGGGATCGTCGTTCTTTTCCTTAAAGATTGAGATGAGATGAGTTGATGTCGGTTGATGGTGTGAAAACACTTCAATTCCAAAAACTATTGACAGGTTCTTCCATGGTTGAGTTAAAAATATGCAATTTATTTAACATTACCTAGTGACAGGTTCTTCCATGGTTTAGTTGAAATATGCAATTTATTTAACATTACATCTCAGGTAAAGGAAAAATTACAAATTTAGAACTGGTAGGTTGGGATTGGTTATTATTGTTATTTTTTTCATAATGGAACAAATGATTGAACATCCAACCTCAAAGGAAGGCCAAGATGCCTTAACTGGAGAGCTTAGTTGAAAACTTTAATTTAGTTCTCATAGTTTGAGCTTAGTTTTAATTTGTTGTTTATGGTCTATTGACTAATGTCCTTGAATCAGTTTTTACTTAGTTCTAAATTTTAGTACAATTAGTCAACATGCTAGTTTATTGTCATGTAAATAAAAGACGTACCATGCATTTTATATTGTAATATCTTGTAATGGTAAGGATGGTTCTGTGATGTTTCATCAAACTATACAGATGCAAGTGAAACTTTTTTTTTTTTTTTTTGAGATAGATGCAAGTGAAACTTTTAAAACCACAAACTAAATTAAACTCATGTTCAAGGGTTAAATTTGAATTAGAGAGATCAAATTTAAATTGAGCTCAAATTTTGGCACTTAATTTCATAATTTTTTAGTACAATGATTAAATTATGATCCATGACATAGTGAGATAAAGCATGAAACTCGTGGGTTCATTAAATACCTTGATATTACTTTTTTGTTTCTGAAATTAATAACCTCATGTTACATTCTAGAGTTTTGAAAATCCAATTTTCTTATAAAGAGTTTTACTCTATCAAAGTTTTTTAATACGTCATATTTATTGATGAGTTCATCATCAAACCATTTTGATTTTATGGTTTTCCCATAATTATTTTATTTTATCAAATCTTCATGAACATTATTATTATTATTATTATTATTATTATTATTATTATTATTATTATTATTATTATTATTTACTTTTTTAGATAAGAGGGTTTGAACCTTGGATGTAAAACATTATTATTTTTACTTCTTATAAAAAACTATTAGAAATTTTTTTCTCATGTTGCATATTCTCTCTCTTTTTTCCTTTTTCATATTCAAGTTCTTATCTTCTTAATGAAATTTGATAATACGCATTCAAGAAAAAAGTGTAATTTGATAATAAAAAATTAATTAAGAACAAATAAAATACAAATAATATTAATAATAATTACATTGTGTTGTGTTGAGAAGAAAGAACAAGACAATGATCCAGAAGTTTAAATTATAATTCTATAGAGCTTTTGAAACCGTCAATTCCTTCAAACCTTTCGTTAAATTTTAAAAAATAGAAAAATGGTAAGTTGACAAAATTGTACAAACATGGCAACAATTAGCAAGAAAGAACTTTCTAAACAAGAGAGAGAGAAAAAAATCATGACTTTGAAATTGTGAAAGACTAAAAAAATATTCATAAAAAATATGTTGGCATTAAAAAACAAAAATTGAAATGTAAATATAAATATAAAAATTCCGTTTTATCGTTTTTTGGTGAGAAGAGCAATAAGCAGAAATAAAACGAGGAAAGAATAAAGTAAAGCTACCGAACGGCCAAAAAATGAGCCAAGTCGCACGTGGAACAGTCGCTCACATTTTTGTGGGGCCCACTTCAACTGAAAATTGTGGGGTCCACTTGTTTTTGCAAAATGGGGCCTCGGCCTCTAAGGCTTCATTTTATTCGGCCTTTCTTTTTAGGATGCCCTCTGTCTTCACTTTACAAATTACACCCTACCAAATTATTTCTTCCCACCAAACACGGCCTTATTTTTTAAATATTTCATGCATCGTCCTTTCTACCAACTTTTTTATTTACCAGTGAGCAACACATACGATGCACATAGAATTTATTATTTTATTACTATTATTTTAGAAACAGTTTTGTCATTCAAATCGGATTTATCTACCTCGATTTCTCTAGTTCTATATCTCATTCTAGAAAATTGGAATTTGTAAATGTGGAAAGAAAATATTTGGAAATCAAGAGGTCGGGTGGGATGGAGATGGGAGGGGGAGAGAGAATTTGAAGATTTTATAAACATATTTAAACACATCATCCTCGAGAAAACGAATTTTGTCAATTTGGCGAGGTTTATTACAATTTTTTTACATAAAAATACCATTGAGATTTTTTTCATGTATTAAAGACAAAATCGGGTTATGTGGCACGTGGTCGACTAAAATTTTGACATTTGTTAGGTTTTTTGTTTTTTTAATTTTTCACTCAAGAAAATATCTAATCTCCTATTCTTCTCTTTATTCATATAGATTATTTTTATATAAGCTTGCATAAGACACCTATAATCATCTTAAAGTTTCATAGTTTCATCGATCTCCACTTTACTAGATAATCTCGAGAATTCCAATTTCTCCTATTAATTAAAAGAATAGATATTAATCATGAAAGTCAATAGATAAAACCATGGATATAATATAACTAGTAAAAGAAATTTTATGGAACCAAGAACAAGCACTAATTTATTTCCATGATAGATAAATCAACAAAATTGAAGCTATTAATTTATTTTTGAAATAATTACTTAAATTTATTACTTCGGCAGAATAAATAAACTTTCTAACTTAAAAAAATATGTAATAAATAAATTGTAAAGAGGAATGGTAATATTGGTTGGAATTAATTAATTAAGTATTCAATAATCCAGTATTTGTGCTTTGCCTAAAAATATTAGAGCCACGTGCTTTGTGCATACCACCAAATATTTCTAACTAACCATACAATATGCGCACGTGAAGTTTTAATTATCAAACCAATTAGTGCTCTATCTTCTTGTGGAAAGTTTAATTGGCAAAAAGTATTTAATTTTAGAACAATCAATTAATTATAATTATTGTTGCAGCTAATAGGAAAAAAAAATATACCAAAAAGACATCTTTCTTTCTATTATATTAGACAAATCACGTGTCCGGCAAAGTTTCGTAGGATTAAACTATTTACCTATTTCGTTATCTCCTGTCACAAATTCTGTTATCATAGAATGATTTCATTCCTCAAAAATTAACTGAATTTTATTATCATAGACTCATTTCATTCATCAAAATTAAAGAAGAGACGATAATAGTAAAGGATCATTTGTTTGATGTTAATATTTAAACCGTTTAATAGATTTGTTGGGTCAAATTTAATCTATAAATTATAATACCTAGAAGCTTTTAGAAAACGAGAAATAGTTACAAAAACATGTAATTTTTTATTTATTTATTTTTAGTACAACATTTTGGGTGCGGGATCGAACTCACAACCTCTCAGTTTGGAGATATATACCAATTACAGTTGAGCTAGCAAAACATGTAAATTAAAAAAAAAAAAAAGACAGAAAGAGATGAGCTGAAATAGTAATAATTTCCAAGAGTGACACTTTAGAATTACATCATAAAAAACTAATATGAATCCTTATAAACTTTAAAAGTCAGAAAATTCAAGATAAATGGGGTCAAGATATTGGGCTCAAAGTTAGGCACCCAAATGATGAAGAGTGAGTATTGCAATATTTTCCCCCGCATGATTTGCACGTGCTACTCTCAAGAATATCTTACCCTTGTAGTTTAATCCTATATATGTAAAATATGAATGTGGAATACAAAACATATCTTATAAGATATTTACAACCAAAGTGCAATTATTGACTCTATAAAACACGTGTAGGAGTAACGTGTAGCTGAAGAATGAATGAGTACTACGTTTGAGCATAAAATTGACTCAAACTTGTCAAGATTTTCCATAAAAATTTATTTGTAAAAGATAAATGAGCACTCCAACGTTCGAGTCAGTATAAATCTCACTCTTAAATTAATATAGAGATTCACGCGTACCTGATGATCAATTTACCTTAAGTGTTTATAGGTAGCTAATGACTAGATTATAACTACTCACGATATCTCATCCGAAAATGACAGAGCAATATGCAAAGTAGTGACAAGTTGATGGTTAATTAAAGGCAATATTTTCAAACTCCCATGTCTAAACTCCCAAAATCGCTATAGACGATGTTAGTTTATTTAAGTTCAAACTTTTCAGGTAAGGTCTCGTGTCGACTTGTGCATAACAAAGGTTTTCAAGTCCCTAGCATATTATAATTAATAAAATAACCTCTCTATTATTTTTTAATAAGTTTAGAAAAGTAGATAATATTATGATTTCTACTCCTATATTAGTGTAGAAATTATTTTATGCATAAAATGTCATCCTTGAGGATAGAAAATAAGAGAATGGGAGGGGAGATAATGGAAAAGAAAAACGTGTAATATAATAATATTATACTATTTATTTGGGGGACTTATAATTTATAATTTTTATGGATTGAATGTGGCTATTTAATGGATGTATCTGTTTCTCTGTTCACAAAATTCAATAATGCCCATTCCATTTCCATCAAAAATTCAAATAGTCACCCTCAAAAATCGAAATAAAAAATTATAAAAGAAAAATCAAATTGTGATGGCACAATTAATATGTGTTTCGCAGATTTATTTTTTAAAATTAATTTTAGATTATGTGACATGTATAGTAAACTTTTTGAAATTTTAAGATTTTAAATTTAAAAATTTTAAATACAAAATTATATTAAATAGAATATAATTTTTTTTTTATAAAATTACTATTTCGTGTTATAAACTTATTTTATTTTTGCTATAATTAAAACGTGTAAGATATAATATTTTATAAATTATATAATATTGTAAAATAATAAGTAATATAAAATTTATAATATATATTAATAAAT